GCTCCCCCACGGCTGCAGCCTGCTGCGGGCTCAGGTCGGGGTGGGGCCGGCTCCTGGCACCAGCGCGCACTCCCGGGGGGCAGAGGGGGACCAGCACTCCCCAGATCTGTGCCAGGGGCAGGGCAGGGCAGGGGCACACTGTGGGCCCGTGCTCCCGCCGGCTCTGCAGAGCAGCGTGTGGAGCCCGGCGCGGCAGGGCACGCAGGGAGGGGCACGACAGCTGCCTGCTGCTCTGAGCTCCCCACTGCCCTGGCCACACTGCCTTTGCAGGCGGGGGCAGCAGCGAGGGGCACAACCTTGCACTGCTGCCCGCGCTGCCCCTGTGCACGCAGGGAAAGTGTGACCAGGGCAGCGCGGAGCTTGCAGCGGCCAGCAGCTTTCGCACGCCTCCCCGGGTTGCACACGCTGCTCTGCAGAGCTGACGGGGAAGGGCAGCACGGTGGGGAGCATCGCCAGCACCTGCTGCCTCCCCAGAGCCAGGGCTGAGGGGCAGTCGGGGCTGAGGCTAGGCTAGGAGGCAGCTGCTGTTTGCAGTCTCCCGCCTGCAGCCGGCCCAAGCTCCGGGTAGCTGCTGTCAGCCATGGTGCCCGGGCTGCTTGCAGCAGGGCTTGCAGCCTTCCAGCCGCCTGCTGGGAGCAGCCTGGGCTCGTGGCTGGCAGCAGCTGCCTAGAGCCCAGTCTGGTGGTCATGTGCCAACAAAGGGTACGCATGCCGGGTGTTGCTGACCTCTGCTCTAGGGTCCAGGGTGCATAGCATGCCCTGCATTGGCAGAACCTGGTCGTCTCCAGCATGGATATCAGGGCCAAAGGGAAGGGAGGCAGATCTGACCCACTTCATATCCCCCTCCCTGCATCCTCTTCGCTCTGGCCTGCTTTTACAACTCCCCAGACAGGGCACCCTACCTTTGAGACCAGCTGTGTTTCTAGGTCTCAGATTAATTATGGAAGAGCACGTGCAAGAGCAACAACTGTAGAGCTGACTCAAATTGCAGAGACGAGCTTCAGTAGGAAGGAAAACAGTTATCTATATCATTCACCAGTGCCATGCAGGCCTGAACAACCACTCAGCTGGGAATTTCTCAACCCATCACCTGCAGTTATCCAGGACCAGGAGCAGGCAGCTAAGAGGTGATCAGTTCCATCTCCCTATGCTGGTCTCACCCTAATTACTTAAAGCTCATTGATTTAAGGCCTGGAACAGAAAGGTTTAGCCCAGTGATTTTCAACCTTGGGTATTACAGTCAAGGCATCCACCAGCAGACAAAAGGCACCCCTCAGAAAATGTCAGCTCTTTTCCACTTGTTTTTTGACTATTGAAAATTAATAGAGCAATTAATCAAATCCTAGGGATGACTCATACCATCCTTATGGGCGGTGGATTGATTTGTTTAGTAGTTTTACCATAGCTTACGACAAAGGGTTACATATTGCAAGCTAAATGTTTGCTAAACCTTGTCATGGTGACAACCCCACCTTCCCTAAACAGATGAACACCCGAACAGAACCTCCCTTCTCAATCTACCAAGATGCAAAATTGTTCTGAAGAGCCTGCGCCCTGATGGGCACAACAAAGCACAACTCAGCATGCACTCGTTTCACGGAGATCAGTGTCAGTGACCATTAGGGTGCTAAACTGATGCTTAGAACAAAACTGAAGTTGAGGAAAGGCAAAAAACTCAGAGGTTTCCAGGCACCATCTCAATCACACTTCTTGAATGGTCTTGAAGGATCAGCTTACTGTGAACCCTCCAGAGAAAAGGTATTGGCATTAATGGACCCTGCTGTGGGGAGCTTTAAACTTTGCTGCTGGATGGTAACCAGACTGGGAGGTTCCCCAGAAAGAAGGCAACTCAAAAGCAGAGTGGAGCCAAACATAGGGAGGCATTCTCAGGAGTTGTACAAGCCTTACTGAAGTCTCAAGCACAGGTTAAGTGACCCCCACAGTTAACAGCACTCTCCTAACCCTTGGACTCAGACCTCTTCTCACCCTTCCCAGCACCACTTAGAGCCCTGCCCCAAGCCCTTTAAGCCCAAATGACTTGAGGCCACGCTCTTTGAAAGCATGACTTGGAGGCCACTTGCCATGTCCTTCCCACAAGCACACTCTTCCACGTGACCTGCTTCTCTCTCAGAGCAGAACTTGGCTGTCTTCCCAGTCTCAGAAACTTCCATAGGAGCCCAACATTGGGCTGCATTTAATATCCTAGGCAACGCACATTTTTATTTACATTTCTTTCTGGTTGATTAAAGTGGTGGGTTTTATTCAGTTTATTCCTCAACAAATTTGGTTAGTTACTGCCCAACAGTGGCCAAGATCAAAGTTCCTTGCTGCGGGCCCCACTGATACAAGAAACTTTAGTTTCAGTAACAACTATCCAAGTGCTACAACAGCGTAAATGGCATTATTGTATTTGCTGAAAAACTATGGTACACTGAAAAAATATGCAAATAAGTCTGAAAACAAGTCTTCTTATTTAATTTATATTGCTCACTGTAACTCACCAGTGAATGAGTGAGAACTGAGTTATCAAAGTTGAAGCATTTCTTCATTTTGAGGCAAGCAGTCATAAGAAGAGCAAACCCAGAAGTCAGATAAGACTCCCTGAGAGTGACTTGAGTTTTGCATATGCTGCATCAATTAGCTGCCTCAAAAATTATCATACATTTTGAACATTTTTACTGTTATTGATCGTACATCATAGAAGGGTTGAAATTATCCTATAAATACGGTAATTATATACCTGGTAACACTGTGCTACAGGAGCTCTTCAGATCCTCAAAGGCCCTATCCTGCAAGTCTGACAGTTACTAAAGACAAGTAGTTCTGGTTATGCCCAGCATAACCAGGGTGACCAACCAGCCTGCCACCCTAAGGTCTTGCTTTAGAATCCCTTGCTCTTAAGTAGAATTGACTGTGAAGAGCACAAGGAATCAAGTGAAAATGCAGCCCCAGAGGTGAACAAAATGGCATTACAGAAAGAAGATGGCCTGTTGTTTCAGCAGTCACGAATCTCATGCCAGAAGAGTGCAGTACCATCCTGGTCACCACCCCAGGCTCCCTTCTGAAGTTATTCCAGGATGGCCCTTTGTCTTGGTGGCACTGATGATTCTTGCATCTCTCATACAAGGATGTGAGACTAAGCAGTCAGGGCATCAACACCCACAAATAAAAGAACCTGTGTGAAGTGTAAAGTGTGATGGTCCCAGATTGTGCTTTCTAATTCCATGCAAGGGAAAGACCCCAGGCATCTCCCCTGCATCATGTCTCCCTTACCACATTTTCTACAGATCATCAAGGTGATGTCCCTGCAGAAGCTGAGCTGGCAGGTAGGCCTATTTATCCCTTTTCCCTCCCAACTCCTACTGAGGCTACTTGGGAAACAAGGGAACAGCACTCCACCCAGACAGGGATCTCCAGAGGCAGCTGACCTTCTCTAGGGAGCAAAGGGACTTCACAAGCCCACAGACCCATGCTGATCCTTTAGCTCCTGTTCAGCCCAGATGAGTCTCATAGCTTGTTCTGCACTGGTGGCAATTCCCTTCCTAACAGAACAGCTCAAAATAAGTCTGAAGGGAACCTTAGAGATTTCTTCACATCAGGACGGAGCTGAGGGCTTCACTATGGGAGGGGCCATTTGGTGTAGCCTTAGTCTAGGACGCTAAATGGGTTCTTCATGCTGAGAGACAACGCCACGAGGAATTGGCAAAGCAAGTCAGAGGTACCTTCTAGCATATGCCTATGGTAGGAAGTGAAGATGTTGGCACCCAGAGGCTGGACATGTACTGTTTATTTTGGGGGATAAAAATGCTTATACATGGTGCAACAGCTATTTTCATAATAGATTTTTATAAAAATGTAAAAATAAGCACATATTTTCCATTATTAATACAGGAAAATGCTGCTGTGTGAATAGTTACTCTACAGGCATAGGCAATCAAATACCACCCAACAGGAGGTATCATCACCTTTACAAAAGTTGTACGAAAGCGGCAGAAAGGGCCATCATATTACCCCTCTCCCTCCAGGTGCAAAACCGGCTTCATTCTGTGGAAAGAGCATGCTTGCCTTGCCATGGCCACCAAATATTAAAAGGCACTTGGATATTTGGGGCAGAAAGGTAAAACGCCCTTGGTTTCTTCAGTAATAATTTTGCTACCCTTGATTATCTGCGATAAAACATACAAGTCCCAAGACCTCCACGAAGTTTGAGGGCTTCTGCCTGGAAATCTGAGTCAGTTGCATCTACTTCACAGTACACACCTCATTTGGTGCGGCAAGGAATGCTGTGCGCATCGCAAAAAATGCAGGACTAAGAGAATCAAAAAAAAGAGAAAGAAAAAGAGAAAAATTCTTCAGCCCAAAAATGTGGCCCAGGGAATGATTCGTGCAAAGGCCCTGCCTTCATGTACCATTGAGTCAGAATCAAAATAAAATGCAGTTTTACTCTCGTCTAGAATTAAAAGCATCATCACTTGAAGAAATACTGCATATGGTTAGTTGCCAAGACATGGCTGCTCAGAGAGGAGCGGGATCCTTGTCTTTTGGTGGCAGTATAAAGCGCTCAAAGTCTCTTTGGAATGTTCATTTGCCAGGTTCTCCTAAAGAGGTAGAATTAAAGCAGTTCCTAAAACATTTACACTTCTCCCCTTGATTTGTCCAGAGCCCCTCACAAAAGCATTGTTCTAGCAGGACAGTGCACAGATTCAGACACAGGCAAAAAAGTTCTCTCATCCAGTGAAAGCCAATGAAAATTGGGGTCTGTAACCTACTCGTATGTAGGGCAAACTGCAATAAAAATCCCACTAGAGTCCTGCAACAGCCCCACAGAGGAGTTTCTGATATGTCCTGAGGTGCATCACAGACTCTGGCCCCAAATGTCACTTGCTAAGCTGTGTCAGAGGAATGGTTTTGAAACTGCTTGTCAGCTACTGAATCCAGCTGCCGAGTTTTAGATACGGCGCCATTAACTGAAGTTCAGCAGCAGCAGGCAACACCACATGTGCAGCATCAGGGTGAGCCTAAATCACCTTCAGTGGCTATAGGGGGCAGTGTACTCTACCCAAGGACTGAGGGTCCCGTTAATAGAGGACAGGATGCTAAATTTGAAGGGTTCGAGACAACTATATTCAAAAGTGCATTACTCTTAGCTGGGACACTGTAGTAATGCTGGGAGTTCGGGTATTAGGTCAAAAGTTCCTCAGCCTTAAACTGAGAGTTTCTGTAGAAGATGGTTTCATTTCCAGAACTCCTCTTAACAAATTGGTACCTCAGACGGCTAGCACAGATAGATGTGGCACTTGCATGAGGGGTGGGGGGGACATGTTAGTGTGCTAGTGTGTCAAAGAGGTCAGACATCTCAAGGAAAGTTTGGAAGACAAATATCTGGAGGCGACAGCTGAGGGAACCATGTCAGACCAGTACTTTGGTCATAGAATTAGAGAGATGTGCAAGGACATGCAGATTTATCTGAGGAGATTTATGGGGCTGGCAGCTGGAAAATGTACACACATTCATGTATGAGGGACCAGGCACCTTAAAACAGGGGTCTTGTGCAGTAGGGGTTTAGAGAAGGCAGCTCCGGACACTTGTCTCACATGAGCATGGGGGCCTGTTTTGGTTACTAAGCAAGAGGGGGCCCACCAAGTGGGAGAGTAGGAAGAGGTACTTGTGGGTGCCATCTCGGAGCCAAGTTAAAAAAGTCAGACGCTTGCCCTCCTGGAGGACTAAAGCAGAAGCAGGGGAGAAAAGAGGAATTTAAGAGCGGTAACAAAGGGTGTAAGATGAGTAACAATAAAATTACATAACTAGTTTAAGATGAATTTCAGGAAACACTTAACTGTGAGGCTCCTGAGGGATAGTGTCCCAAGGGAAATGGTGGAATGCACTGAAATGCAAAGGCTGGACAACACCTGGGGAATCTAGTGTTGGGAGCAAATCATGTACTAGCTGGAGAACTGGTTAGGTACAACCCAACAGGTCTTCCCCATTGTTAGCTTCCACAATTCTCTTATTAGGGAACTGTAAAACCTACAGCCATCAAGGTCCTTCCAACAGAACTGGGCTCATTAAGACTCTTGAGCACTAAAAAAAAGAAAGGGTTCTTCATTTCCCTCCTGGAAGACCTTCATTGGTACTGGAGTCCACTTAGGTTCAGCCACCATTCAAAGCTCTTCATGCATAAACCTGCATGTTGTTCCGCTGCTGCTCTGACATTCGTGCTACCGGACCACGTTGGGTACTACCATGGCTGGGGCTGGTCGCCACATCAGACCAATCTGAGGCAGAGTGCGGGGAGGAGCTTGACCACTGATCGGGAGATTCAGGAGATGGCGTCAGATATGGGTGCTCCCCTTGCAAGTGCCTGTTATGGCTAGGAGTCCTCTCCGTGGCAGAGGAAGAGGTGTAGCTGTGCTGTGATGGCGGAGTGGGATACTTTCCCATCGAGCTCTGGAACTGGTGATAGGCTGGGAGGATTGTCTGAGCGACCTGCCCATCCTGCTGAGGGATTACTGCCATGGGAAAGGAGGCACTTGGCAGCTGAGCTAGATCTGGCGTTATCTGGTACATTGAACTAAGAGGACCAGCTACATTCTGAGGGCAGTTGGACTGGGCCTGTTGTGCCAGGACCTGCTGGTTCATGCCACTTTTGGGAACCAGCTGGAAAGTCATAATAGGGGGCAGTGTCTCCCTGGAGATTCCCACATGCTTCACATCTGTTTGACTCAGACTTCCTTGCTGAGAGCCGCTGGGGTGAGCATGGACTACCTGTGGGATCATGCCAAACATCTCATTGTATTGGGATTCATTCACATCTATGTGGTTCATCCATTCGGTGGAAATGTTACCTGGCTGGAGTCTACCGAGCCCATTGCTGGAAGCTGTGGTTCGGTGCTGTGAAAGCAGCTGGCTGACAGATGGAAGCACGGTGTTAGATCCCTGCCCCAGCGGCTGCATCTCATGGAGACCAGAGAAGGACATGGGGTGTGCGGCCTGCACAACTGAGGCCGTAAGCAGTGAGCTGGGCGAGGAATGCAGAATCCCTGGGGACGGCATCACAGGAGAGGACGTTTGTTCAGATGCAAAAGCGTGGGGAGATTCCAGGGAGTCGACTGGTGAGAGGGTCACTGAGCTCTCAGAAAACTGACCCTTGCTCTCAGTCAGAGATTTCTTCCTTCTTCTCTTCGCTTCTTTGGCAAGATTTGGGGCCATCACACTCTTGGCATTTGGTTTCCTCGACTTCTTGCTTAGAGAAGCATGTTTCAAATTGAGGAAAGATCTATTGGGGCCACAAATCACTGGGGAGAGGGCAGAGTTTAGTATGGTGCCAGGGTGCCCAGATGGGCTGTGGGCCACATTGTACTCATTGAGAAGCTGCACAATGTCATGGTGCATGCGGTCCTGTGCCACATCACGGGGGAGACGGTCCATGTGGTCTGTGATGTCCCGATTGGCAAAATGGTCCAACAGAATTTTAGCTGCTTCAAAACTCCCTTCCCGAGCTGCCAGGAAGAGTGGTGTCTCCTCCTGAAAGACAAACAGAGAAAATATTTTAACAGCCTTGCAGTTATTCCAGATCTAGGTGGAGCACACGTCAGGGAATTGATTTAAAGCTAATGCTCATTCAGAGTGAGGCAGTATACAAAAGGGTGTAGGTCTGATAAGAATTCTGGGTAACCAGCCCCACAACCAGCCAGCCATTCCAGAGGGCACCACAGGGCACAGTGAACCGGATAAGACTATGGATGAGGGTCATGACTGAATTTATAGCATAAAACCATGAGATAAGGCCAACCCTTCCTGTTGAGAGTACACCAACCTGCTGGGGGTTGCTGCAGAGCAATTTCAGAAGACGTGACACCTCTCCAACATCTGTGGCCATGAGAGCATGAGGAGCTGCTATGCTCCCAGTACCCCAGCAAGAGAGATGCTGGAATTTGACACTTAACAGTGCAAATGATAGCATGATCACTGTGAAGCAGTGCATAGCTGAAACATAGCATGATTACTGTGAAGTAATTTACTCTGGACTTAACTCTGTATTAATGGGCATAAGCAATTGGTGACGGACAGGGGGGACAAGACTGAATTCCTCAACAAGTTCTTTGCCTCAGTGTTCCTAAGCGAGGGGCAAGACAAGTCTCTCACTGGGATTGTAGAGAGGCAGCAGCAGGGTGCCAGACTACCAAGCGTAGACCCTGAGATGGTGCAGAGTCACTTGGAGGAACTGGATGCATTTAAGTCGGCAGGCCTGGATGAGCTCCATCCAAGGGTACTGAAGGCACTGGCCGACATCATTGCACAGCCACTGGTGGGAATATTTGAACACTCATGGCGCATGGGCCAGATCCCGGAGGACTGGAAAAGGGCCAATGTGGTCCCCATTTTCAAGAAGGGGAGGAAGGAGGACCCAGGCAACTATAGGCCAGTCAGTCTCACCTCCATCCTTGGCAAAGTCTCTGAAAAAATTATCAAGGCTCACATTTGCAAGAGCCCGGCAGGAAAAATTATGCTGAGGGGAAACCAGCACGGGTTCGTAGCAGGTAGATCATGCCTGACTAATCTAGTCTCTTTTTATGACCGGGTTACAAAACACCTGGATGCAGGAGTAGTGGTTGATGTCATTTACTTAGAATTCAGGAAGGCCTTCGATACGGTATCCCACACCATACTGGTGAACAAGTTAAGAGGCTGTGACTTGGATGACTACACGGTCCGGTGGGTGGCGAATTGGCTATAGAATCGTACCCAGAGAGTTGTAGTGGATGGGTCAGTATCGACCTGGAAGGGTGTGGGCAGTGGGGTCCCGCAGGGCTCGGTCCTTGGACCGATACTCTTCAATGTCTTCATCAGCGACTTGGACGAGGGAATGAAGTGTACTCTGTCCAAGTTTTCGGACGACACAAAATTGTGGGGAGAAGTGGACACACCGGAGGGCAGGGAACAACTACAAGCAGACCTGGACAGGTTGGACATATGGGCAGAAAACAACAGAATGCAATTCAACAAGGAGAAATGCAAAGTGCTGCACCTAGGGAGGAAAAATGTTCAGCACACCTACAGCCTAGGAAATGACCTGCTGGGTGGCA